TCATTCATAGCATGACAATTGATTTTGTCGATATGGACACACACGGGGAAATCTAGAACTGGGGAAATTCTCCCAAAAGCAATATTACCTAGACATAGGGATAGGAGGGTTGGTTGCCTTTAAGCTTCTGTGCGAATGTAATGCATGATTAATTGCTAGGGAGACAAGACATTGTGAACTAGTGATTAGGATTAGGCTTTCTTCACCGAGACATCGGGTTTAAGGTAAATTAGAAAGTGGCATTAACATTAATGAAGAAAGATGAATTCATATATGCATGAGAGTAAATTAGGTGAAATCTAAACCCAACAACAATATCATCAACTTCATCCATTCATTCTTGTATTTAGCCTCAATTGATCAAATTGCATTCATGTTTATTTTATTGCATTTGCATTCAAAAATCCCAAAATTTGTTCTTTAGAGTCTTAATTAGTTGATTAATCACATAACTATTTAGTGTCATGAGTCTCTTGGAAAATGATACTTGGTCTTACTATTTACTTGATACGATTCGGTACACTTGCCGAAGTGTTAACAAGTTTTTGGTGTCGTTGTCGGGATCAAAAATTGTGTTTATCAAATACACATGTGTTATTAATTATGTGTTGTCATCATCAGAAACTCATATATCACTGAGATTGTGGGTTAAGCTAAACATGTGCTTCCCCTATCAACAATCTCAACAAACTACAACAACTTAAATTTAATAAGTATAACAAAGAACCTAGTGATATATATTGACGATGATTTATGGAACTATAGATTCAAACATATCTCACCCCTTGTCCCTCTCTTCCTCTCTTTTTTCTTCGTTCATCTTTTCCTATCAACTTCCTTTTCCTTTTGAAATTATCACATAAGAACTCAAGCACTCCCCCTTCACAATAATTTGTCCATGTTCTTTAATTTATTAGCAATTTGTTCATGTTCTTCTCAATAAATTTCATGCTACAAACACCTCACCAAGAATAGCATCAACTTCCATCTTCACTGAACTCAATTATAACTTCATATGAACCTCAATAGTACCATGGTACTAACTTTAAACATAAACATGTACCTAGTAGTGCAATAAAATGTTCTAGGATTAATACTATGTTTCAAATGTTGATGCAGGAGGAGCAACCTTTGTAGGCAAGAAATCTATGTCATTTTCAGGGACTGAACTTGGACAAGCAGCTAATGTTGAGGAGGAGTTAGATGATGATGGATCACAAGCAGAAGAGACGAAAGCAGATACCATAAAAGAAACTAGATAACAAAGAAGTCATTTCAGCAGCTTTCTTAAGCATTTAGCATCACCACCAAATTGTTGCACATGTCAAATCACCAAAACACACCCATAATTATGATCAAAACAACATTTCACATTCATGATTTAAGACAAATTAATATCTTAACTAGGATAGAAATATCTCTACACCCAAAACTATTTAAAATCATAAACTACACTTCACTAATCTCATTTTCTACAACAATACCACTTTTAAAATCTACATTAGTTTGTCAAAATGCCTAACATGATCAATACTAATATATACCTCACTTGGTAGCAAAATGCATTAACAATTTCAATAACAAAAGGAAACAAAGTTATGCACCAATTAGAGAGAATTCAATTTCTTAATTTTAGTTTTAATTTTTCATTTAGCTTGGTGGTCTAGATACATGCATAGTGTCTAGAAATTGCTTAAAATATTTGTTGTTTTATATGAAAATTTGCAAAGCCTAATAGGTTGCCTTCATTTATGCATTCATGAATCCCCCAAGCATTCCTCACATCTGGTTATATCAATTAGACCATCCCATGCATACTCTCACGCATACACGTGAGCATAACATTTCTTTCCCGTTTCTTGCATTTGTTTTCTACTAATTAGGTCATTTTTTTCATTCATTGCATATTTTCATACCTCAGGCATCCAATTAAAATCATACATTTTAAGTAGGTTTTTTTTTCTTCCCTACCTTGCCTTGTTTTGAATTTCATAGATAGGATTAACTATACATTGTCTGAACTTAACATGTACTGAGTCCTTGGATTAGACCTTAGTTACCACTATTCTACATTAGTGGGGTACTGATTTTGTTGACTTTTAGTGCAACCTAAAAGTGATTCAACAATATGCGTTACTTAATCCTCTACAGTGTTGTTCTTTATTTTATATACTTTCATTGCAGTAATGTCAGGAGAAACGTCATTTTGTGGTGATAAAGAAAAGACGATGGTAAAGCCAAAGAGGCAACATCGCTACATTTTAAGGGTTCCTTAAACACTACCAGCCCCAGATGCCTTAACTCCACTTGACGTATGGTCATCACGTGCAACATATCCTGCTTTACGACCCAACACCAGAACCTTCATAGATCCCACACCATATGCTTATCACACTCCTTCTATACCCACCTCATCTTCAATTTCGTCTCCATATATACACCATCCATCTGATGATCGTGCTTCAGCTTCTAATGGAGTTGTCCCTGCTCCCCATGATCGACAAATCATTAAATCTTATGGTTGACGGTAATACCAAATCTTCTTCATAACTAATCTCTATTACATTCTTTGTTTTACTTTTTCCTTAATTATGATAACAATTTTGTATTCATATTCAGGTTTCTTCCTTCTATAGTTTCTTCTTAGGCCATCACAAGGTTTATTAAGTAATAATTTCTTTAGTCTTGGCCATCATAGGAAGTAATACCTCCAGAAGACAAAAAACCCTTCTGGCAGCGTTTCAAGGAAAAACATGTTACTTAATCTCATTTTCTATTGAAGTATATTAAGTCCATCTACTTTATTTGACCATGATATACTGTAACTCCACTTCCACTCCCCATTGCTTAAGTTAAGAAAATTTTCCACAACAAAGCATCTCACAGGCTGTCGGAAATATGGTCGCCAGTAATTACTAGTAAATATAGATCGTCGGTAATTACTAGTTGATATATCCGCTGATAATTATCAATGCTCATTTCGTCGATAATTGTTTCTGACAATGGCATTACCAACGGCTCTTAGCCCGTCGGTAATCCGTCGAAAAACTTACAATATCGACAAATTTTGGATAGTATTGTTGTCATATATCTATCAGTAATTCTGTGACCTTTTTTTATAGTGTTTAGATATTATGACTAAAATATCTAATTTTTAAGTCATCATTATTATATGTCCTATCGGTAAACTAAAACCTAATTGAATTACTAATTGTAATATTACACTACTTTTAATGTTGAATTCAAAATTGAATTATAAAGACTTAATACTACTTTTAGTTCCTATTTTTGTTCACTTTGTTCAATGTGGGACTCAACTATTTTTAGCGTTTAACGTGGTCCCGATTTTCATAATTTTTTTCAATTTTGTTACTTTTGCTGATGACGTATAAATTGTTAACGACATAGTGTCCACGTGAGCAATGAGAGGTGTTGTTCATTTTTTACACATGTGGCTTGTCCAACACAATATTCATATTGCCACATCATCATTTTCAACCTCCCAACATAGAAACCCTAACCACCATGCACTTCCACCGCACAGAGTTGGCGATGCGCCACAACCAAACACCTGCACACATAGATCAAAAACCAAGATGCAGTTCCCTAAATGATAAATGCCTAAGTAAATCTCTAAATCGTTACTTCATAAACAACATAGAATCATAAACCAAGATGTAGTCTCCTTGTTTCCTTCTATTTCCCACATAATAAAGAACAAAACCAAACATTCCACCCAAACAACCAAAAACCAAAAATAGAGCACACATTCATTATATCTATTTTTTTAAAAAAAAAAATCTCAAATACAATTCCACTAAATTCAAGCTGCAAACCCAAATTTTAGAAAGAAAGCGAAAATAAAATACATGAATTGAAGTCAAATGAGATATGGAAGGTGAGTGGAAAGAAAGATAAAATGGAAGTTTGAAACCCTAGTATGAATGACAACGTACGTGTAAAGTGAAAAGTGAAAAGTGAAACGGAAGTTTAAAACCCTAGTATGGACAGGCTATGTAAGCCAAAAAAGAACACCTCATTTACTGATTGCCCACGACACTGTGTCGTTAACAAATTTAGACGTCGTTAAAAAAAAATTACAAAAATTAGAATCACGTTAAACCCTTGAAAACATCATAATATAGGGATAAAAATGATATTAATCAGTTTATAAAATACTAAAAGTTACATTTATAATATATCAAAGAACCATTGGCGTGCTAGAAAACTATTAAACTAAAATTGAACCATCATAATACTCGCTGAACCCAAATTTGATTAAACTTAATTTTCAAATAACTACTGATGAATGAAATTCTTTTCTACATTGAAATATGAAATTGAACAGTTCTTTCTTCTTCTTTTTCTATTAATAGAAGCGCGTTTGTAGAAGAACCCATTTACTTGTCAATTAGCAACAGCTACGACGAAATGCTTGATTTTTCTTTTATTTATTCCTGGTCTGTCTCCGCTTGTTTAGTTTTGGCTACCATAAACATGGTCCTTGGACTTTCTTTTTCTAACCCAAGTTTAAATTTTCAAAGTTCAAAATGTTTGATTTGAATCTCTTAAGATATATTTGTTAGTTTAAATAAGTATTTTCTTCATTTTAGCACAGCTATTTTAATTAGTAATTAACGTATACTGAAACCATGTTAGTCAAAACTTAAATTATCGGAAAAAAACATAAAAAAAGCCAAATTTAATTTGTAAAGAAAAAAGAATTACCATCATAGACGTACAGTTTTAATTACAAGAACTGTAGAAAATAAAACGAAAAAAGAGATACAAGATACTATGTAAATAACAAATACAGTAATAGCATTATTGTATTTTTCAAAAGTGATCTGGTTCGATTTTCTTGTAATATTTAAGTAAATGTTGACCAATCAGAGTCTCAACTCTGCGTCACCTTCTGCTCTCTTTCTTTGACTAATCACCGCTTTGAATGTGTCTAACGTGTTGTGTCGTGTTCCATTGTCTCATGACGAGCCTTCCCTAAATAATCGAACAAGCTTATCTCAAACATCATATGTACACTCTCAGATGTAAACCAATATCAGCACCCTTCATCTGTTCCATACAAATCTCCACAACATTTCGATAAAACACAACATAGGTCGGCGGTTACACAATCTTTCGAACATCTCTGATCACATCGTTTTTGTGTTTGATTCCTGCAACGATTGAGGAAAATACCAGACATGTCATCCAAAGTTTATGAGCGAACTCTTGAGGAAACTCCAACATGGGCTGTTGCAGTAGTGTGTTTTGTGCTGCTTGCTGTTTCAATCGCCATAGAACATCTTATTCATGGTATTGGAAAGGTAAGCTTGGCAGAGTTTATTCATTCATGCTTCAAGAAGCTGAGATTAATGTTTAAGGCTCAGAGAACATCAAAGTAAGCTATTTTTATAGTAGAAATCCATTGCTGATAGATGGAAATCTGAGACTAAGTATGAGGTAGATGATCGAAATGAGTTTATGATCATGAATTCATTTTCGTAGATAAGAAAGTAAAAAACCAGTCAATATATTTAAAAAACTTAACATTTATTTTGATATAGTTTAAAACACGTTATATTTTATCCTTTTTATGAGATTCAATACTCATGTTTTTATGTTTTACAGTGGTTCAAGAAGAAACAAAAAAATGCTCTATTCGAAGCGTTGGAGAAGGTCAAAGGAGGTACTTATGCTTTTCCGAATAAATGAATTAAAAGTTGTTGAATTTACACAATGTGTTTGAGTTTCTAACTGAAATTACTGTGTTCAGAGCTTATGGTGCTAGGATTCATATCCTTGCTCTTAAGTGTTCTGCAAGATCAAATTTCAAAGATCTGCGTGTCAAAACATGTTGCATCCACGTGGCATCCTTGTGAGAACCCAAAGTCCTCAACGACATCTGAGGATGAATCTGAGGATATTCAGATAAATTTTAGGAAACTGCTACAACTTTATGACTCCATACCAAGGCGTGTTCTGGCTACAAAAGGTTACGACAAGTGCGCTGAAAAGGCAAGTTCACCATCTTCACTGTTCTAATTTTGTTTCTTCGTTTTAAAACAACAAAAACTTATCTATATCTGATAGAGGGACCATATGTTTGTCTGACATCCTTATCACCATAACATAACAAGTTACCGTATGTAGGCATCCACCGACTAAGGAAAATTATTAGGTTGTGGTTCACCTTCACGATAGTTTTCTCAAGACAATCAATAATAAATATAATTTAGTGTTATTAAATTTTGAGTTGAAATACATGTGTTTGTTTTTCAATTTAAAACCTCAATTTAAAGTTACTTATAATAGTTTCTTATGACAGTTTTCAAATATGTCGTGAATACAATGTTAATCATATCATAACTAACATATAATGATCTCAAACTCTTTGCTAAAATCGAAGGAGGGAGAAATAAAAATGTATATACAGCAAGAAAATATAAATATTAGAGATAAAAAATGAAGTGCATGTTGCGAGAAACATTGATATATTTATAGTTTTGATGGGTGATTATTTATTTGCAGGATAAAGTTGCTTTTGTTTCAGCATACGGGATTCACCAGCTGCATATATTCATCTTTGTGTTAGCAATATTTCATATCCTACAGTGCATTATAACACTGGGTTTGGGAAGAACCAAGGTTTTTTGACTTCAGAATGCTAGTTTTAGATTTTTTTTTTTCTCTGTGTTTTTCTCTCTCTAAATTCTTGGTTTGGTTTATGCATGCAGATGAGAAAGTGGAGGGCATGGGAAAATGAAACCAAGACCATTGAATATCAATTTTACAACGGTAAGAACTCAAACTTCCTCATTTCAAGTACCAATTAATGTCAATGATGTATCTACACTTAATTAATATCTTGACATGATATTTGATATCGTGGAGGTTGACTTTCTTATGGGTTTGGTATGACTTTAAGGTTATCTTGAATAAAAAACACTAACACAGTTTTCTTTTTATACATTAATTATTCCGTAACAGGTCAATTTTATATAATTTTACTCAGTAATTTGGATTTGTTACTTATTTAGTTCAACTTAGTTAATTTACACGTAGTAAAGGTAATACATATATTTCTTTTAATTTATTACAAATTTTTATATTATCGCTTCTATTATTTACTTATATCTTTCATCAACAATAGCAACAAATATTTAGATGAAAAAAATTGCCTTAACTCTTGTACAAAGAATGATATATATATATATATATATATATATATATATATATTAATCTATATATATATATATATATATATATATATAAAATTTACCTTATAGACACATCTTCCTAAAAAAATCGATTGAAATAAATATTTATATTCTGACTATCTTTAACCCTAAAGCAATATAATAGTCATCCGATGCAAAAAAATAAAAGAAAGAAAACCTATGATATAGGAATCGATTTCAAAATGCAAATACATTAATAAAATAGTATCAATTCTTGTTTAAGTATAATAAAGCGTCATGATGATATTATCTCGTCTTATTTATACAAATAATACAACGGTTGACTTTTATTACGATGCATAATTTTTCATGTAGTCCCAAAATAAGTATTAAAAGTACGTAATTAGTTCCAATAAAAGTGTGGGAAAGTATTATTTTATGGTAAATAATGACTTACTCTTATATTTTTTTTGTGCTTTTAAAAATAAATAAATAATTATGAAAGTCATGAAAAATAAAATAAAATAAAAAAATTATCGCGTACTATATTGTAGACTGTATTAGTGCACCTACTATTTATTCTAGTAATTTTATATCAAAGACGAATAATTAAATAATATAATGTTGTAGCCACATATATTGATATTGGTTTCAAATACTTCTTAAAGATAAATAATAATGTAGAACGTGTTGTTTATATTTCTTTGGGCCATTTATATTATATGGTCAATCTGACTGTGCCGTATATAAATGTGTACATATTACAGATCCTGAGAGGTTCAGATTTGCAAGGGACACAACATTTGGAAGAAGACACTTGAATCCTTGGAGTCAGTCAACAATTTCCTTATCCATTGTAAGAATATAAATGAATTTGCTAATAAAATTCCTATCATAGTTTATTAGCCATTTTTCCCAATATTTGCCAATTTTTTTTTAATTTAAAGTGTGTAATTAATTAGTATTTGACACGTAAAAGAATTAATTTTCATGTTTCTAACTATTTTCTTTGTACGCTGCTTGAATCAGGTTAGCTTCTTCCGACAATTCTTTGGATCAGTCAACAAAGTGGACTATTTAACATTACGACATGGATTCATCAGCGTGAGTTATATTTAAAAATATTTGGTACCATACATGACGTTGGAATTTTCAAGTCGTCTGAAAATTTTAATTTGAAAATCGACTTTTTGTCGATTTGAATTAAATTTAAATTCAGTTTATTAAAATATATCAAAGTTTATCATAAAGTTATTTTAACAAATATTTATTAAATTTATGAAACATATTATTAGGAGTTTCACGTCAACTAGAAATAAAACCAATTTATAATATACAAGTGAGTACAGAACTTACTTTACAAGCCGATTTTATTAGATTCAGGTTTAAATTTCGCTTCTTTACATGGTATCTAATTTGTACAAACCTTATTTTACAAGCCGATTTTATTAGATTCAGGAAGGTTTAAATTTCGCTTCTTTACATGGTATCTAACATGCCGCTACAGAAGTTAACTTTAAAATCATCTTCTTTCTTTGAAATATTAATTCTGACAAAATTATTAGACACTTCATAACATTACTATAATTATAAAATATATATATATATTTGAGTCCATCACAATTTATATTTTTTAATCAGTAACAGAGTTGGTTAGAAATTATGTTTTTATTAATTAATTAAAAAATGGAAAGACTAAGATATACTTGGGATTTTAGGCGCATCTGGCACCGGGAAGTGATGCAAGATTTGATTTCCAAAAGTACATCAAAAGATCACTTGAAGAGGATTTTAAAACTGTTGTGGGAATAAGGTATGAATGTGTTCTGTTTTTTCTTGCTTTTATTAATTTACTCATCAATTTAAGCTTAATAATTTTTGTGACTTGCAGCCCAGTCATATGGTTCTTTGCGGTGCTATTCCTTCTGACAAATACTCATGGTAAGCCGTTTTGAAATTCATAAATTAATTTGAATAAAGAAAATCTTTAATATAATCTGTCAATAAATTAGGGTCTTTTTATTTCTAAGTTAAGGAGAAATGATTTTAGTAGAATTTAATTTTGAAATTATGAACTTGTTTAAACATGTTCTCAGTAACCAAAGATAGTAGAACAAAATAAAACAAAGTTTCTTGTGAATTGTCATTATTGACAGTTTAAAATATTTGATCTGTCTGCAGGATGGTATTCTTATTATTGGCTTCCATTCATCCCATTTGTTGTAAGCACAAACTACTCATTATGTCAATGTTGCCTTTCTATAAGTTGTTTTTTTTTTTATGTATAAGAGCATAAATAAATGTCAAATTTAATGTAAATTTGACAGATAATCTTAATAGTGGGTGCTAAACTTCAAATGATAATAACAAAGATGGGACTGAGGATTACAGACAGAGGAGAAGTTGTCAAAGGTGCACCTCTGGTTGAACCTGGAGATGACCTCTTCTGGTTCAACCGTCCACGCCTCCTCCTCTTTTTGATTCATCTCGTGCTCTTTCAGGTAACGATTAAAACCATTTTCAATTTAAAATTTCAAAACATTGAGTTTGTGGGTGTTTCTGTCTCTGTTTAACTCTCTTATTTTTTCTAATTTGAAACTTTAAAACCATTAAAACCATTTTCTATGTTGCAGAATGCTTTTCAACTGGCATTTTTCTCTTGGAGTACTGTAAGTTTATCCATCTTCACCTATTTCTCTTGAACTTTAGCCTTAGTTTCTCTCTCTTTGGTTATAACTACAACATTGAGGAAAATTTTCCATTCTTTAATACGTGCCTATGTTTCTCATTTTTCCTAACTTCTTAATTTCTATTTCAGTATGAATTCTCCCTACACTCTTGCTTCCACGAAACAACTGCAGATATTGTCATTAGACTTACAATGGGGTAAGTTTGCTTCTATGATAAAAAGTTCACGTGACAATAGTTAAGAATTATAATAAAGTACATGAAGACTCATAAACCCATTTATCTTAATGATTTTGAGTTGAAGATGATGTTAATTTTGTGATTAGTATTAAGAAATAGACTTTAAGTTCAATTCAACTTCTAAGAATCGATTTGTAAAATGAGATTTGTACCCACTTATATATTATAAAATGGTCTTATCTATAATCGACGTAAGATTTCCAACAATTAGACTCAGGTTAATATTATTGTCTTTCCAATAAATTTTCTCCTCAATAAACCATCACCAATATATAGACCTACCATTAATTCATTACATTATGCATAAACATAACAATGATGTGGCAATTTTGTTTTGCAGGGTTATCATACAAGTTTTATGCAGCTATGTGACACTACCTCTATATGCTCTAGTCACACAGGTCTGACTTGCTAGAAAATCTATCCAAGCATGCATAATTTTCTTTCACAAAACTAAACAATCATCCACTGGTTTCATAATGTTTTGCAGATGGGTTCAACCATGAAACCTACCATCTTCAATCAGAGAGTGGCATCAGCACTGAAGAACTGGCACAACACTGCCAAAAAGCAAGTAAAAAACAGTAAGCCAACCACACCATTCTCAAGCAGGCCATCAACGCCAACCTATGGTATGTCTCCCATGCATCTGCTGCAAAAACACCTTGCTGGTAGAAGTGATAGTGCACAAACATCTCCTAGAACATCCAACTATGAAAATGAACAATGGGATATTGAAGGCTCACCTTCCAAAAGCAACCATGCAGCTGGTGAAGAAACTCAAATGCAAGTAATGGAATCAGGCTCAAACTCAGTCCCAGAATTGCCTACAAGCTCTCGGCTTGAAATCAGAGTTAGTTCATCAGAGTTTTCCTTTGAGAAGAGACATCATGGTGCAGAGACGAGAAGTGAAGATGATAGTTTTTATTAAACACTTTAAATGTACAGCTTATGTACATATCAAAGTTCATATCCATTCTTTTGCATCAATGCAGAGTCATTTGGAGAATGAGGCATAACCTTGTTGAAGGAGCATTCGAGGATATATACGATGTTGAAGGCACAATTTGCTGTTGAAAAATCATGATGTCTACATATATATAACATTACAACAGCAAAATATGTTCCCCTTCCAAGTGACTAACTACTTTTAAGTGTATGTTTTGGACATATGAACCGAAAATCGTTTTTGAACCAACAGTGTCTGAGTTAGAGGTTTGATATGATGATTATTGAATATTTAATGTTGACCGAAGAAATATCAACTTGCAGACAATTTTTCAATGCTCAAATTAATAATAATTTAGAGAGTATTGTATTTGATAATATAATGAATTATAAAAAAAGACTTGAGCAAGTGTTTCCTAACGTGTTGTGTTTATAGATTTTTTGGACCTATGGATAAAGATTATATAATAGATACAATTACTTTAAACAAATTTCGTTAGCTAGAATCTTTATTATCAATATATCAAGGTTTTTAGTCAAGAGATTTATCATCAGTAATATAATCAACTACAAATATATTGGAGTCCTAATCCTAGTATATTGAAGTCCAATTATTTTCATTGAGTTCAAATATTTTGGATTAGATCATGATATTTTAACAATTTTTTTTTAACAACCTTTTAACAATAGACTATATATCATTATTTTATTGGTTTGTTAATTTGAAACAGACCAATCAAAAGCTACTTCATAAACTATTGTAAAAAAATTGTAAAAAAAAATTGTTAAAAAAACATTTTCCTTTTGGATTACAAGCTCTCTAAGCTCAGAATTCAAACGTAAGGTGTGGGTGAACCGTATTGATGGACAAATAAATTTTATCAATATCTTAAGTTTGACATAAGTAATTAATTTTTATTATTGCATTTTTGCAATAAATTAGATAATTTTTTACTGATGATTTCATTTTTAGAGTATTTAGTCTTAACTTTCACGAATTGTAATTGTGTTTAAATCCATCATTTTTTTAAATTAGGATTCATCCAAATAGGATAAAATCAAGCTTCAAATAAAGTTATTCATTAAAATCAACTTTTTAAGTCATGTTAGATGATAAGTGTTGTAGGTAGATGAAATGCACTAGACAATTGATTAATGCATTTTCATGCACACATACATGGTTTTGATTGACTAAATGAAAGCCCACAACTTTGTGTATTTGAGAAACAAAGTTGATTATCTTGTAATTTTGTAGTTAATTATAAGTTATGTACGATTAAATCGTCCTTCTTTTATTTCTTCGTAATAGAGTCTATTTTATCCATTATTTTTTAATTTTGATGTCTGCTCTTAGGATTATTTTGGAATGGTTACTGATAGTTCAATGTTATTCTTTAATTATAGTTCTTATCAATTTGTTTAATCCTACTAATCTTTGGTTTAGGTAAAGGAGTAAAACTTTACATGTAGAGACTTAGAACATGTTAAGTATATAAATAGCATTTCACTTATAGATGCTTCAAAAGAGTAAAGTGTAAATAGAATTTAATTTGTAGACACTTGGAACGAATTGAAAACCAAATGAGTTCATTAAAACTTGTTTGATTAATTCAAACATGTATACTTGTTTACTTAATTTAAAAGGTCAAATAATATAATCTCACATAGACATTTCGAACATGTAAGATATGAAAAGAATCTAATTGAAAGACTTGAAATGAGATAAAATTCTTAACGAATTAATTGATGTTTGTATAATTAAGTTAATGTTTGTTTATAAATTAAATGAAAGATAATCATATAATAATTGAAGATATGAAAAAAAATGAAAAAAGTAAGGTGTTTTCATGTATTGTTTTCTTTAAATTGTCTATTACAATCCTTTTTACTATAATTTTATGTTTTTAACTTTACTTCAAATTCTTATAAGTGCAGATTTTAGTTGATTAATTCTATTGCAATTTGAGTTTATTAACTCTGTCTATAATGATAGTGACCTACTATCATTTAATGACAACACTCACAATGTAAATGAAAATAGTAAAAATTAAATATTAAGGATCAAAAAATAAAATGAATATACTATAGGAATCATTTGCCTATTAAATAGTTTTAAAAAAATAATATATATTATTTTTATGATATTTCAAAAATATTATGTAATTTATTAAAAAAAAACACTTTAAATAATTTAGACATTTAACTTTTAAGAATATATCATTTCAGTTTTCTTTTAAATAATTTAACGATTTTGTATCATAAGCAAGTTTATAGAAAAATTAACTGACATAATTTAGTATTAATATGTTTTATACATAAAATATATTGTGACATTAGCATTGTGACCTAATAATATATTTTCTTTATCATATCAATGATAAAACCCTAACCATAAACACAAGAATAGAAAAAATTATATTACAAAAATCAAGATAACAAAAGTATATATATATATATATATAACAATAACCAATAATATATTAGAATAAACAAAATGAACAAACTTTATTTTATAATCTTGATATTTGAAACTCCTGTACTTTATTCCTTATAAATATCATTTTAATTTATATACCTGAATTTAGACTTTCAAAGCTAAAAGAACGAAAATAACATAAAAAAACTAAAAGAAAGCACAGCAAGAAAGTAAATTATATTTATCTGACAAAAGAGAAACCTTTGGTTTTGTAAAGATTATCCAAGGAAAAATGCCCATTAAATCTTCCTTGACCTAAACAAAAATTCTCTAATTAATTACTGTACGACCTCTGGAAATATCAATAACTGATGTTGCTGAATTATACATTTTCCTCAGCTTCTCTTTGTAATTCACGTCGTGCAGCAGCCAACCTCTCAGCAGCCAATCGTTCTTCCAGTGCTCGAGCACCTCTTTCTCTGCAAAAATCAACAGTTTCGGTTGCCATGTCAAATTATTTTATGCAGAAGAATGATTGCAACAGTTCGTATGACTGCTAAAAACTGAAAATAATGCTAAAATATGAAGACAAGGAAATAAAAAGAATCACTTCCGCTGTCCCCAGAAAAGAAAAATAAAAATTTGTCATTTGGAATAGTATTATGATGTTTAATCAAAATATTAAATTAAAAANGCTTCCACGAAACAACTGCAGATATTGTCATTAGACTTACAATGGGGTAAGTTTGCTTCTATGATAAAAAGTTCACGTGACAATAGTTAAGAATTATAATAAAGTACATGAAGACTCATAAACCCATTTATCTTAATGATTTTGAGTTGAAGATGATGTTAATTTTGTGATTAGTATTAAGAAATAGACTTTAAGTTCAATTCAACTTCTAAGAATCGATTTGTAAAATGAGATTTGTACCCACTTATATATTATAAAATGGTCTTATCTATAATCGACGTAAGATTTCCAACAATTAGACTCAGGTTAATATTATTGTCTTTCCAATAAATTTTCTCCTCAATAAACCATCACCAATATATAGACCTACCATTAATTCATTACATTATGCATAAACATAACAATGATGTGGCAATTTTGTTTTGCAGGGTTATCATACAAGTTTTATGCAGCTATGTGACACTACCTCTATATGCTCTAGTCACACAGGTCTGAATTGCTAGAAAATCTATCCAAACATGCATAATTTTCTTTCAAAAAACTAAACAATCATCCACTGGTTTCATAATGTTTTGCAGATGGGTTCAACCATGAAACCTACCATCTTCAATCAGAGAGTGGCATCAGCACTGAAGAACTGGCACAACACTGCCAAAAAGCAAGTAAAAAACAGTAAGCCAACCACACCATTCTCAAGCAGGCCATCAACGCCAACCTATGGTATGTCTCCCATGCATCTGCTGCAAAAACACCTTGCTGGTAGAAGTGATAGTGCACAAACATCTCCTAGAACATCCAACTATGAAAATGAACAATGGGATATTGAAGGCTCACCTTCCAAAAGCAACCATGCAGCTGGTGAAGAAACTCAAATGCAAGTAATGGAATCAGGCTCAAACTCAGTCCCAGAATTGCCTACAAGCTCTCGGCTTGAAATCAGAGTTAGTTCATCAGAGTTTTCCTTTGAGAAGAGACATCATGGTGCAGAGACGAGAAGTGAAGATGATAGTTTTTATTAAACACTTTAAATGTACAGCTTATGTACATATCAAAGTTCATATCCATTCTTTTGCATCAATGCAGAGTCATTTGGAGAATGAGGCATAACCTTGTTGAAGGAGCATTCGAGGATATATACGATGTTGAAGGCACAATTTGCTGTTGAAAAATCATGATGTCTACATATATATAACATTACAACAGCAAAATATGTTCCCCTTCCAAGTGACTAACTACTTTTAAGTGTATGTTTTGGACATATGAACCGAAAATAGTTTTTGAAACAACAGTGTCTGAGTTAGAGGTTTGATATGATGATTATTGAATATTTAATGTTGACCGAAGAAATATCAACTTGCAGACAATTTTTCAATGCTCAAATTAATAATAATTTAGAGAGTATTGTATTTGATAATATAATGAATTATAAAAAAAGACTTGAGCAAGTGTTTCCTAACGTGTTGTGTTTATAGATTTTTTGGACCTATGGATAAAGATTATATAATAGATACAATTACTTTAAACAAATTTCGTTAGCTAGAATCTTTATTATCAATATATCAAGGTTTTTAGTCAAGAGATTTATCATCAGTAATATAATCAACTACAAATATATTGGAGTCCTAATCCTAGTATATTGAAGTCCAATTATTTTCATTGAGTTCAAATATTTTGGATTAGATCATGATATTTTAACAATTTTTTTTTAACAACCTTTTAACAATAGACTATATATCATTATTTTATTGGTTTGTTAATTTGAAACAGACCAATCAAAAGCTACTTCATAAACTATTGTAAAAAAATTGTAAAAAAAAATTGTTAAAAAAACATTTTCCTTTTGGATTACAAGCTCTCTAAGCTCAGAATTCAAACGTAAGGTGTGGGTGAACCGTATTGATGGACAAATAAATTTTATCAATATCTTAAGTTTGACATAAGTAATTAATTTTTATTATTGCATTTTTGCAATAAATTAGATAATTTTTTACTGATGATTTCATTTTTAGAGTATTTAGTCTTAACTTTCACGAATTGTAA